GTTGAATCTGTAGCTTTAACTTTTTTAGGCAAAACATTTACTTAGAGCCAGGTGCTTTTCACGTGAACATCATTACACTGACATGAAGAGAAAGAGATACAAGACTACCGTTGTCATGGGAAACAAAATTAAAATCAAAATGCCAAAGTTCAAAATGAGAATGGTTTATTTTTCTCTTACTAACTTTTATTTTAAGTAAAAAAAAAAAAAAAAAAAGCCACCCCTGGAGACGGCACACTGTGACAAACCTTTTTTCCTAAAACTCACAAGGTGACATTACACAACAGGAATGACTAGAAGGTAGAATCAGCAGAAGGCAGTGTATGTCTGTGTCTTCTATTTTTAAGATGTGAAACTACATGAAATTATAACATGAAACTAAGATACAAAACTATAAAGACAGGAACCCCCAAAGTCTTGTCCCATCCCAATCAATTACAATCAGGTACTTTGTCTGTGCATGTATTCATTGAAGTTAGTACTACACTAAACAAAAGACCACATATTCCATGACACTTCACCTCCATCCCTTGTTGAGTCCAAGAAGCATCAGTTAGCTTCCCGGTCTTTTTCATAACCTACGTGGCAGCTGCTAGGTTAACTGGTCGGATGACATGGACTCAAATGCCAGGAGCATGCAGAAAATACACAGCTATCTTTCATCACACTCAACCATACCACTGTCACCAGGGCCAGGTACAGACATTACACTTCTACTAGGATAAGTGATCGGAAATTGGTTTATACCTGTAACAGAAGTTTGGTGCACAGGCTGCTTTAACGGCTCTGATTTAAACCCCACCTCCACAAAATCCAAATTTGTGTGTCATATAAACTAAACGCCATATCAATCCAAATAATATATAGTGGTGGCTTGTTCTAATGATGTAAAAATGTGGATGGGGGTGGGCAGGGTGTTAAAAAAAAAAATCAGAGAATTTGGGTTTGTTTTTTTTAATCCGAGAAAGCCAGGATGTCTGCTTATGAGATACACGTAAACAAAACAAGGAAAGACATTCCTATTTTCACCTGTACTAGAACTGATAATACAGAGTGCTGTAACATAGAGAAACAAGTACACTTAGGGAGGAAAACCACTATCAAGACAAACACTGCACATGTTCCTCCCCCAGAGGAGAGCAAACAACATGTGACATATTAGTCAGATTGCTCAATACTTTATTGAAAGGCATTTCAGATACTTAACTTGCTCACACTGAGAACTACAAAAGCAAAATGTTGGTTTCCCCAACAAATTCATAAAAATACATCTCATAAAATATACCTGCTCCAGTCATTACTTGCAGACACATAACAGACTTAATAAACTACACCAACAAAAATCACCACACATTCCCTTCAGTCTCTGCATTCCATCTTCACATACTAGTTCTAGCTTCCCATGTTCCAGAGCCAACGTCCATAAATTACTGCAATTCTGACCACCTACTAGGACAGATACTTTCTGAAATTAATGACACTCAAGATATGAAAGCAAGTGCAAAAAAATGGACAGCATTTTAAACAGCATCAGAGGAACATAAATCAAATTTATTCAGATGTTAATAATTAAACCAAAGAGCAAGGATTTTAATTATTTCCCTGTTCCTTAACCATTCAAAACACAACAGATATAAAAGCAAAAGGAACAAGGTAGTATATTTTAACTATTTGGCACAGATTTCCCATCCCATTCTGCTTCAGAACTTATTGCTGTGAACAAAGAACAAAAAATTGTGGCAAACTGAATAGACTGTCAGTTCAAATGCTCCAATAATGCACATTAACAATAAGAGATAACATGTATTTTTCTTCCTATGAAAATATATACTACTAACTCTTAAAATTACTTCTCGACTAAAGCAAGGTATTAGTGCTTAATGCTATGCACTGTCCTATTGAATTCAAACTTGCCAAGACTTAGGTAATGTTGTGGGTAAATGTTTACTAAATGAATGCCTATAAAGTAGGGTTGTATATGGATTCTACCATAAGATCTTCCAGGCTTCAAGCCTTCTATAAACAGGTTTCCACTCTCTCTATCCCACATACAAACAAAAATATTAAAAATACACAACATTTTTCTGTCTACCCATCATCTTAACATATACTTTCTTTACTGTTTTTTTTACTTTTCAAATTAGGTGCTAAAATGCTCATCTTACTTGCTTTTCTGTCTCAGGTTTGCGTATACCATCAATTATCATGTTAGCATTGCAAGAGAAAATTTTTTTTACATAATTTAACTAAAAAAAATCCAAAAAAGACAGATTCCCCCCCACACACTTTTTAACCTTTATTATAAAAATGTTAAAAATGAAAGGTGAGCATGCATAAGTGTGTGCCTTCTTAGAAGCTGAACATGAAACACTTGTCAGTAATGAAAACACCCGTCACCAGAGATTGAAACGCCCCTCCCCAAGAGAGGGAACCCCCTCTTTCAACTCAGAATGCCAGTCAAATTTAGCCACAGTATAAGCAGTTGGTTAAGACAACTGATTAGCACCAGAAGAACCAGAATTTACTTAGGCTACAGGTCTAACGCCTAGAGGGATGACTAACATGATATCTATGCATTATGGCTGTCTGGTTGTTTTGCCTCTGTTCACTTGTGGCAGGAGCAGGAGCTGCATGACACAGTCCTGGCCTCCCCTGCTATACTACACTGTTGCAGCACCTGCCCCAGTTGCTCTGCGAACTCTGCTGCATGCAGCGCCTGCCCCAGCCACTGCAGCACACATGCTGTATACAATGTAGATCCTGGAGTGGGTGCTAGATCCAGCGCTTTGGTGGGAGGGGGGAAGTCTGTGGACCCATCACCTAGACTTGGCCTGTGGATTGGCCTTGCATCACTCATCCCACCAGTGGGGCCAGATGATTTTGACTCCCCTGTCCTAACTGATTGGCACAGAGTCAGTGGGTCATGTGAATGTGAAGTTAAGCAGAAAGTCAAGCAGGGCTGTACCTTTTAGACAAACTGGCTCAAAGAGGCAGGAGCTTTCAGAGGCAACAGCCTGCTTCATCCAATGCTGGGAATAGGCTGCTGCAGCATGCACTCCATTGCTAGTGTCCAACCAAGCAGATCACTGTCTATGGTGGCTCTTGCTTTTTTGAACTGGTTAGTCTAAAAGGTGACATCTTGCCCTGCCTTTTGCTCAGTCCACTGAGTAGAGCCGAGGTGTTAAATTTAGATCATGAAACCAGGAAAGAGATGAGAGCTCCACACCCAACCTCCAGCAGGGGCCAAGTGTCATAAGAACTGCCATTTATTGGGTCAGATGGTAGATCTGTCCTGGCCAGCCTCCTATGTCACACTCCCTCGTCTATTCAGATATCCAGGCAGAATATCACTGGGCATTGTCCTGGCTCCTTGGATTCGTTCAAGGGCCAGTAGGTGCCATCCGGTATGCTCTGCTCCGTGTCCCCCCTTGGCAATCTTGTTTTGAACCTTTGACCTCCATTTCTGTCCCTGTTTTCAATATTATTTGTCTAAAGAAATCTGTAACAATTCACTAGTGACCCCCCCACCCCCAATATTAAAGCAGGCTTATAGTTTCCATGGCAGTCTTGGCCCGTGACTTTCCCTGATGTGTTATAAGGCGTATGTCACACTCCTTCATCTGTTCACATATCCATATTCTTGGTTTTCCCCCTTGGCACTCTTATTTGAACCTCTGACCTCCACGCCTGTCCCTGTTTTTGTTATTATTTGTCCCAAGTAATCAATTGTCACCTTTCCTGTAGCCTCCGTGCCTGAAGGAGGCTAATAACTTACTTGGTGGGCCTAGGCCCAGCCCCTGAAGGATCACAAATAGGTTTGTGTCACACTCCCTCATCTGTTCACATACCTGGGCAGAGTATCATTGGGTCCTTGGACTTGCTCGAGGACCAGTGGATGCTGTCTAGTGTGCTGTGCTTGGTGTCCTGCCCCCCCCCCATGCACTCCTCATAAACTTATGACCTTCAATACTGTCTCTGTTTCATTTATGTTTGCCCCAGTTTGTAATCAGTGATATCCCCTTAGTGGCCCCCATCACCAAGCGGGGCTTCCAGCTTTACTTGGTGGGCTCTGGTCCACCATCCCAATGGCATATCAAAAGGCCCATGTGTGTCACACAGCACCAGAGAACTGATGAGGAAAGAGGGAGTGAGCTGGGCCTAACTAGAAGTTTTCCCACTGCTGCTCCTTTCTCACTTCCAGCCTCCAGCATTTCAGTTCTAAAAAGCACCAATTTGGAGGCTGGACCCTGCACTGTCCTGCTCAGAAGTGACCCCCAGCCTGTCCAGCCCCTTCCTGCAACCAGCTGAGTTGCAGCCGCCACCAGCTCTAGGGGCAGCGAGTCCCACGCTTTCCACCAGCATCGTATGAGCGAGAAGAAGTCCAAGCAGTGTCGCCAGGTCTTAAATATGAAATTATCGCACTGGAGGCTCAAAATGATTGTGTTGACTGAAAAACGATACCTCATCAGTGGGCAAGTGAGAACTGGGTCAAAGCTAAAGCATTTCTTTCTTCAGAGACAAGCAGTCATAAGAAAGCACTGGCAGCAAACCCAAAAGTCGGTGAGGACTGCTCGACAGTGACTTGGGTTTTACATATGCTGCATCAATTTGCTGCTTCAAAAATTGTCATACATTCTGAACACTTTTACTATTATCAGTTGTACATCTTGCAAGGGTTGAAATGGTTGTACAAATGCGGTTATGATCGTACACCTGGCAAGACCGAGTCAGAGCCAGGGGCTTCGGAGGGGGCTTGGATGAACCCCCCCGACACCAGGGAAGGCACAAGTGATCCCTGCTACCCCCTTCGGCTGCCACGGATTGTTTCGTGGCTGCGGGCAAAGCCCAGAGGCTGGGGATGACTCCGTGAGGGCATCGCAGAGGCGGCTGCTGCCTACACCCCCGCTCCCTCCCCACCCCCGGGGGCAACAACACACGCAGCACCAGCAGCCCCGCTGCACACAACCCCCCTTCCCCCGCTGCACACGACCCGCACTCACTACTCGCAGCCCGCTCCGCGTCACCGCCTCCGCTCACCTGCGCCAGGTGAGGCTGGGAGGGGCAGGGCTGTCTACCCCACTGCCTGATTTTTATCTCGCACCCCCAATGGGTTTATCGAGGAGAGGAAGTTTGTGGCCGGGCCCGCAATCTTGGCGTGCATTTTTTCTTTTTTTAAATATATATTTTTTTCCAGTCAGGCACTGCTGAGGGCAGGCGGGAAGGGCGGGGCCGTAAAGCGCCGCGCGGCTGGCGCGACAGCCGGAAGGACTGTGAGGCTGGCACTGCGGGTGGAGATGGCGGCGAGGGAAGTCAAGTCTGTGCTCTTCGTGTGCTTGGGTGAGGGGGCGCTGGGGCTGGGGGGAGCGAGTCCTTTGGTGACGTAGCTGATCTCCGCAGTTCTTGTCACAAGAAGCAGCTCGTGCTGGCGCTGCCGTGACGTCAGTGTGGGACACCGCCGGCCTGGGAACGGGGCGCAATCCAGGCCGGGGCCTGCCGCCCGCCTGCGCTGCAGGGCCGGAGCGGGCATCTGCCCGGCTGGCCGGACTCGGTCTCTGAACTGAAAGCCGCGCGCTTGCCCACTCACAGCCGCCCCTCCGCGCTGCAGAGCCCTTAGGACGGATGGTCTTGACCTTCTGGTATTGGGCCCTGCGCAGGGAATCTTTCCTCTCACTTCCTTCATGGCCTTAGAGTGCAACGTGGAAGTTCCTGTTGCCCCTGGCCGTATTTGGGGGCATGTTAGGGACGTACTGTTGTTCCTGATGCTTGCAAGTCTGTTTTAAGACCATGATAAGCCAGTTCCAGGTTTAGTTGTTCACTTGGAAGGAATTGCTTCTTATAGTACAGATTTGGCTGGGGGGGGGTTGCCTTCCTCTGAAGCATCAGATTGGCCACAAATGTAGGTGGGGACTAGGGATGTGGAAGTTTGAAGCTGACGTTGGTTGCTTAACCCATTACTTTTCCAAAGCTAAAAAGTTATTAATGAATTACATATCCAAACAGATAATTTAATTAGCTATGAATATGTACTGGTTATTATTGTATGTATTAATTAGTAAATATTCATAGCTAATGAAATTGTTGGTTTAGGACAGGGGTGGGTAAAATGCTGACCGAATGTGGCCTGCCAGGCTATTTTGTCTAGCCCAGGGCCCCCCCCCCAAATTTACAAAATTAATATTTATTTGCCATTGCCTGCCTGTCATGTGGCCTTTGATAGCTTGCCAAAACTCAGTAAGCATCCCTCCTGCTAAAATAATTGCCCACCCCTGGTTTAGGGTGTGTAATTCATTAATAACAAGCTTTTATGAGGTCTAGATTTCCTTTGAGAGAGGAACTGGGAACCAAGAATAAGGAACTAGGAATAAGCAACCAATTTCAGCCTCATGAAAGTTTAAAGGATTAATTGTTTACTGATAAATGCAGTGATAACCAATTAGCTTACAGTTATCCCTTAGCTCCCAGCCAGCACAGTCTGTCAGGGAAGAGAAGTGTCACGGTGCCCCAGCAGGAAACGGAGGGAAGGGTGAGGGCAACTAGTACCCGTAGCTTAAGATCAAAAGAGCTAGCAGCCTAAGGACTCATCAATTAAGTAGTTAGGTTCTTGTTTACAGGTGCTCCCTTCCTAGTAGGGCAGGACTTCAGGTGGGCTGCATTGTCTGCCTGGGCTTGCCTCCTCTTTCCCCCCACCTTTTACAGTCAAAGAGCTTCAGGAGCCCAAGCAGCTCCCAGCAGCAGCTGTGTCCAGTCTGCTGTGTTGTTGGTTAATCCTATTCACTGATATACTTAGAGGAGGTTAAATGATTTTTTTTTTAAATTATACTTACATTCCTAATGGGGACATTGAATGAAGTGGGCCATTGATCTCTGGTGCTACAGAGAATTCCATTTAAGAGAGTAACTGATCACTGAATATGGGGCCAGGAAGGAGTTTTTCCTTCAGTCAGATTAGCAGAGATCCCAGGTCTGTTGCTTTTCTCTGCCGTGTGTTTTTACTTGCCAAGATGGTTTGTGGGGAGATGTTAACAAGTCCTGTGGTCGCAGTCAAGTGGTGAAGTGGTGTTGGGGACAGGAACAGTTATGTCTGGGAGTCCCTAGTCACAAATCTGGATGTAGGTAGCGGTTATGTGATGGTCATTTTGCATTTACCAAGACAGAAGTATAGTTAGTCAGGTTTGGCTGTGACTGAGCAGTCCTCTTTAGGATCCCCTCTACTCACCCTGAACAGGAAGGGGCTAGAAAAGGTGCCCTAAACATAGGCTGTCTC